TTTTATCTCCATAATTCTTCCGTCACAAGCTTTTAAACCGATAACATTCCCTTTAGCATATTTAAAAATAGACATGGAAAACTGCCTGAGCAAACCATGATTGAAAATGTCCATATTTTTGGATCAAAGATCAGGCAAGACTACAGTATATATAACAAGACACGAGTAAATTTTGATGTAGCATCACTTGTAACGAAAATGTAGTATTCAAAGTTCACAGTAATAACACTTTGATTAGATTATCGCTTTTCATCAGTCAAGGATGTTCCCATTGTTAATTGAAATCTAAGTGAAAAATATTGCGCGTATTTGCAAAAGATTTTTTTGGTAAAAACATTTCCATTGTATAACGATGAATTATTATAGTGTCCCGCACAAGACCATTAACGTGTAATACGAGATTTTTTCTTGATTGCTCCAAAACAATGTGTAGAACATTTTTATCGACAGAGTCAACATCGTGTTTTATTTCTTTCTGTTGTCTCATTTCACTTGAAGGTCACGTGGATAATTAACGAGCCAATGAAACAGCATGGACACCATTTTCTGCAAAATTACATCATGAATAAAATATGGTCTCTATTTTGTGGAAGGTTTTCTTTGCCATCTCTGTCCTTGTGTATACATACTGGTGCTGACAGTGAGCCGATTTACGGGTCATTTGCGTAGTAATAAATACATTACTTGGCGTGAATTATTGACGTAGAAAAAAAGCCTATTTACCCACTGTGTCGCGATGCAGTATGCATTGAAAGTCATGTTTGTTTACTGCACTGGAAACGTATATTCCGGAGAGTGACAAATTATGACGTATGACGTTTGTTATCAAGAGCTCGTGTGACGATGATGTTTATAATCAGAGCCAACAGAAAACGGCTTGCAGGGAAAACAAAACTTTATCGCGATAACAGAATGTTTCTTTTGTTCGTTTGCTTATTTGTGTAATTCGATAGAGTTGATACCATTAAAGTGCCATCACTACTAGTGACAAACGTTATCCTGACAATGGACGAATTAGTCCTTACTAGAAATATCAGAGTACATTAATATTTTTTACTAATACATGCATCTGCCAGTGCAGTTTGGCAAATATACATTATATATATATTCAAAATATGATAACTGAAATAACTTTTAAATAATCCGGAAAAAAGAAATCAATATGGACACATAAAGATCCGAATGATCAATAAGCACCGAGCTTTAAGGAACCAATAACTTCGTTGATGTGTAGAACAGTGATCGTCCCCGTTGTTTAGGTATAGTCCCACTTTTCCAGCGTGCCGTGGTTACGAGCCCCACAAAGCTGGTTTATAGTGATGACAGAATGTTGGAACCACTGACGGAATCACGTGCGGTGCAGAGTTCCTGAGTCCCTGTCTCAGATTCCTGGGCCATATGTCTATTATTCGGAATAAGGTTTATAGTCAAACTATTCAAATCCAACATTTGATCCCAAAAACATGACGAAAGGAATCGAGATAATCTGTTTTGGAATCCCGTAATAATGTTGTTTGAATTTCGTTTCTTACGCCACCTGCGTAAATAAATAGAATGCTTATTCAAGTTGTGGTCTGACGACCATATGTTATCAACAGAAATGTAATGAATGACAATACTACGAAAACCTGAAATCGGGATTCGGGAATTTTTTTCAGATCATTTCTATTTGTAGAATGTAATTATTGTCAGCGTCTGATTCGGGACAAAAAGACCATTAACTGTGATTAGATTTGTTGGCTTACATCGAATTGTAAATTATTCTTTCATTGGATAATGTATCGAATTATTAATTAAAAAAAAAAATATTTTGGGTTTTATTTATCTGTAAAATGAATGTATCTTTCAGTACTCGCTTTTGTTGTTGAAATGCGTTTATTATCCGCTTGAATCAAATACCATTCTTTCTGTTATTAAGCTTGTGATGCTTTTTTATCATATTTTGCCGACCACGTGTTGGGTTATTAACTCAAAAAGTGTGTGTGTTCTACTTTGTAAAAACCGATAACGAAAACAACCAATCTGGCACCTATTTCTTCATTATTTAAAAATGGCCGACAAAACCTGGCTCGTGTTTAAATTCAATGGTCATGCACAACAAACAAACAGCTGTTGATCTTTTTCATTATAGTTTAAGGTAGAAAGATTAATTGAAATTTTATCTTTACGTTGTATTACACACCTAACCAGGCGTATCGAGGCGAGGTTAGATAAATCCGAACGTTCGGAATTCTCTTCAATGACGGTTCTAGCCCTTTAATGAGGCGTTGTCATATTTACTGTAAGTCGAGGCGTATGTATTCACCCAGGTATTTTCATTGAATGAATCATTTCTGCGGTAGAAATTAATTTTTAAATAGCCAGTAACCATATCCTATTCTCCTAGCATGTTATGGGACCGGCTGTGGATGCGTACATTGGTAATTAGTGCGGCAATTAATCATGTGCTATGCGAGGAAGTGGTGGGTGAAGGAGAGGTAGTGTGATCGGGGAATAGGTTCCATGCATACCTATGTTTATATAAAAAAACGAAATCAAAGATTAGGAAGAAACCAACCGCCCTATTATAGAATGTGTCCTTAGTCGTTGTGTCGTGTATTGTTTGAACATCCGGTAAAAGAATTTAAACATCATTAGGTCATATATGTCAAAATGTCATTTTCACGGTAATGTTAACTTAAAGATTGCGTTATGAAACATGTTTACAGGCGTGCCACTTCCATTGTTACGAAAACAGATCGTCCTGTATTGAAGTCACATGACACTCTACCCAAATCGCTCTGGTTGGCATGCGACGGACTTCTCGTATGTTGCTTTTAGTGAGGTGGTCACCAGAAACTACAATGTACAAGAAACCCCTGCCTGATAAAAAACAAGCGCTCGACAATCGATATATTCTACATACAAATAAACTTGTCGTTTATGCTATTTTTACGGTTGTGCTTTTTTACTGAGTTATTATTTTCAAAATAACAGGAATGCTTGTGGATAGTCTGTGATAATCATTCTTGATAAAAAAAAAAAGAAGCTCGCGCCTGGCACAATACAAGCGTCACATCATTATTTATTTAAAACCCGGAAATAAATCGACATGAAATCACATGGCACTTCCTGTAAATATTCGTCGCCGATTGCACCGTTCACTGTAAACTATCATTTAGCTTGTAACTGCTTACCAGGTCTTACTGTCTGATTTTATTAGTCACGAAGTTAAATTTACATCGATAAAGTTCACCTTGCTAAATCAATAGATATACCAAGTCCTACCGGTCTTGAAATTTCATTGGTACAAACGCTCCTGAAGCCATTTCAAGTGCTATGGTGTCAAGAAAATTTATCAATTGATGATTCTCTAGGCAAATCATAACAAAAATGGAAGTCAATATAAAATGGAAGTATCGCCTATTGTCGCCTTCGTGCTTTCGAGGTCAACACGTGCACGAAGCAGGTTAGATGATTTCCTGGCGATACCCTCTGCCAGACAAACACGTACTTGTAAAATTTTCCGGTTGCGATCAACACGACTTGTGAAGAGACGTCCATGCTTTATAAGCAAAACGGTCGACAACCACGCAAGTCCCAGCGGTTGCATGAAAAGAATTGTCCCTCTCTGTCTTTGTCTAATCTCTGAGGCGACCATGGTTTAAAATTCCGGAATGTTATATGGTTAGACAAGGGTACTGGCTCGCTAATAAGCTTAAGGCGGCGCGGGACCACAAACAGCAATATATTCTGAGATGGCCAAGTGGCGCAGACGAGATTTTAAGTCTATGAAATCTGTAAATTTTTGTTCGGGATGCATTTAATTAAAGGTGTTTAAGTTAAATGAACATTGTGATGAGCAAGCATGCGCTGTTTGCGTTATGCGAACTGGCGTCTAACGCTGCTGGGAGGTTATGTGAAAACACATATTGAATTGCATCAAAATGTTTAAATATTCAAGAGAATCATTTAGCAACTCGCTCCAGTATATCTTTATACTACAAAATTTGTTCGATTCATTTACTATAACTCAATTTATAGAGTGAATTCATCGATGATCAAACAATGTCCGGGTTTCGAACTTCAAAGCTCATTTTCATTACCTGTGGTACGCATGCGTTAGGGAAAAAAAAGCTACGATATAGGAAGCAGGGTTAGTTGACGCATGCGCATTTACGGTTGAGTTGTTCTTTATTAAATGAAATATCTTTAAAATGAAACTGCGTTGGGAATATTCTTTAACTTACTTCAGACAAATATTCTTTTGTGATGTCACAATTTCAATCAGTTACAATTAAAAATAATAACTCGGTTAAGCACGATATCATACCGATTTACACCAAATAAATGTTAACTAAAAGAAATACCAAAACGTATTCATGACAATCTATGTTTTACAAAATTGGGATTGATAATACCTATATAAATAAGTATTGTATATTAGATAGAATTTGGTATAGAGAGGGGATAATGCCGATAATGGCGTGGTGTGTATGAAGAGCCTGTAGTCATCACAGGACCTTTCGGAGTAAAATATTTAACGTAAATCTATGATAACGCAGAACACAACACATGCACATTACATAGACGTGTTTTTAGATAGGTTTGTATATTATTTAACACACATTTACAAGGCTACCAAGTTGAGCAACATTACAGCTTGATTGCTATTATTCAATGGACTTGAAATATAAAGTTACTAAATTAAAAAAAAAAATCGGTGCTTTATTGCAATCTTCAATTTACTTGTCAAATTTAAATGAAATTTTTTTCAAAGCTAACTAATATTCGTCTGTATAACAGAAGACCAATGCAATTTAACTTAAGTCATAATGATAATTGCGGCATACCGGAAATCTGTTTTGACAATGGAAGAAACCGGAAGTCTATCTTTCACGGATATTTCTTGCAAACTGGAAATCCAGATGTGTCAAGTTCAGAACAAATATAAATGATTATGTATTATGTTATGTTATATCATCAGAGGTTACGTGATTACATGAATATGTGTTACCTACCGGAAGTCCAGTCTGTTCAAGATTCGTCAGTAAGAAGTCCGGATGATTCCGATATATGTGTTATGAGTACAGTTTATTGGTTTGCGTTACGTCATCTGTGAATAATAAAACATAATTTGTCAACGCTGAATAATGGTTTTTATACGTAGAACATGCAAAAACGGTTTATCTATCAAAACGTCAACACACTATGGTGAAATATCCCACAGCTTCGTCAGAGTTCGAGAAACGCAACAACAACAACATACAGTGGCACATGGTACACCATAGTTAACAATCAAGTATGATATACACCACAACATTAACAGTGGCACATGAAACACCATAGTTAACATTTAAGCACATGACACACTACAACGTTAACAGTGGCACATGGTACACCACAGCATTTAACAGTGGCACCTGGTACACCATAGATAACAATCTAGTATGATATACACCACAGCATTAACAGTGGCACATGGTACACCATAGTTAACAATCGAGAACGAGATATACCACAGTATTGATAGTGGCACATGACACACCATAGTTAACAATCGAGAACGAGATATACAACAGCATTAACAGTGGAACATGGTACACCACAGCATTTAACAGTGGCACTTGGTACACCATAGTTAACAATCACGTACGAGATACACTACAGCATTAACACACAAATACAAAATATATCAAAGCGTCAACGTCCAAGGACGGAATACGCAGCATCGACAGCAAGGGACGGTATCCACTACAATGGCAACACACCAGGACGAGTTAAAACTCAAAGTCAAACTCAAACAAGGACGGCATGCACTTCACTTTCAATACACAGGAACAGGATAAACCACCGGCAAAATAAACACAACATGAGGACGTAATATACCAGAGCTATGATACAAAGTTATGGAAACACTACAGCGTCAACACACAGGGAGAACAAACACGACAGCGTCGCACACAAATCCGATATACACCACAGAGTCACCAAATAAGGATATCATACACTACAGCGTCAACATACAAGGACAGCATACACCACAGCGTCAACACACAAGGACAGCAATCACTACAGCGTCAACACACAAAGACAACATACACCACAGCGTCAACATACAAGGACAGCAAACACCACCGTGTCAACACAAGGACAGCCTACACCACAGTATCAACACACAAGGACAGCATACACTCCAGCGTCAACACACAAGGACAGCATACACTACAACGTCAATAAGCAATGATAGCATACACTACAGCGTCAACACACAAGAACAGCATACACCACAGCGTCAACACACAAGGACAGCATACACTACAGCGTCAACACACAAGGACAGCCTACAGCACATCGTCAACACACACGGACAGCATACACTACAGCGTCATCACACAAGGACAGTATACATCCAGCGTCAACACGCAATGATAACATACACCACAGCGTCAACACACAAGGATAGCATACACTACAACGTCAACACACAAGGAGATCATGCACCACAGCGTCAACACACAAGGACAGCATACACTACAACGTCAACACGCAATGATAGCAAACACTACAGCGTCAACACACAAGGATAGTATACACCACAGCGTCAACACACAAGGACAGCATACACCACAGCGTCAACACACAAGGACAGCATACACTACAGCGTCAACACACAAGGATATCATACACTACAGCGTCAACACACAAGGACAGCATACACTACAGCGTCAACACACAAGGATAGTATACACCACAGCGTCAACACACAAGGACAGCATACACCATTGCGTCAACCCGCAATGATAACATACACCACAGCGTTAACACACAAGGACAGCATACACTACAGCGTCAACACACAAGGATAGCAAACACTACAGCGTCAACACACAAGGATAGTATACACCACAGCGTCAACACACAAGGATAGCAAACACTACAGCGTCAACATACAAGGACAGTCTACCTCACAGCGTCAACACACAAGGACAGCATACACTACAACGTCAATAAGCAATGATAGCAAACACTACAGCGTCAACACACAAGGATAGTATACACCACAGCGTCAACACACAAGGGCAGCAAACACCACAGTGTCAACATACAAGGACAGCCTACATCACAGCGTCAACACACAAGGACAGCATACACTACAACGTCAATAAGCAAGGATAGCATACACTACAGCGTCAACACACAAGGACAGCCTACAGCACACCGTCAACACACAAAGACAGCATACACTCCAGCGTCAACACAGAAGGATAGCATACACTACAGCGGCAACACACAAGGACAGCATACACTAAAAACACAATGATAGCATTCAACACAGCGTTAAAACAAGAACACATCACATTGTCAACATTCAAGAAAAATACATCACAGCGTCAATACACAAGAATGCGTCACATTGCCATCATTCAAGGACAAAACAAGGAGAGCCTACACCACAGCGTCAACACAAGGGGACAGCATATATGGCAGCGTCAACACATGAAGACAGCATACACCACCGCGTCAACACACAAGGACAGCATACACCACAGTGTTAAAACACAAGGATAGCATACACCAGAGTGTTAAAACACAAGGATAGCGTTCAACATAGCGTTGAAACAAGGACGAGACATGCTATATCATCACAACAACCATATCAACTACAGTGCCAATACACCAAAACAAGATACACCACATCATGAATACTGAAGGATAAAACACACCACAGCATCAACACACAAGGACGTGTCACATTGTCATTATTCAAGGACAAAACACACCACAGCGTCAACACACAAGGATGTGCCACATTGTCATCATTCAAGGACAAAACACACCACAGCGTCAACACACAAGGATGTGCCACATTGTCACCATTCAAGGACAAAACACACCACAGCATCAACACACAAGGATGCGCCACATTGTCATCATTCAACGACAAAACACACCACAGCGTCAACACACAAGGATGTGCCACATTGTCACCATTCAAGAAAAAATACACCACAGCGTCAACATAAAAAGACAATATATATCATCAGCTACCAAGGCCGAGAAAACACCGCGCCAGCACAAATTGTTAAAAAATGTCAAAATATATGAAAAATAAACCACGATGTTGGCGATCAATGATAAAACATAGCGGCGCACCGTTCCACAGAGTCAGCATCGAGTTTTTTTCTTTTTACATTTCTCATGCCTTATTCCCCTTTTTTTATTTAAGATATATATATCACAACCCTCATTTGCTTGTCACAGCATTATGTGATATAACGCATGTGACATCTCTGTGGAAACGTTGTGTGCTATGTACAACAACATTTAAATATTTTGTTAGGCTAAGTGTTCATTGCATAAAAGGAACCTGTTTGAAACAGTATGTCCACGACATTGGTAGTGCAACTAGAGCAATTTTACTTAAATTCCATTATTGAGCCACAGAATGGGTCGGTTCGATAAGAGACGTTTAGTTTTACCGCCACAGCTCATTATAAGTACGATGTCTAAAATGTGACATTTGGTCCCTCTAGAGAACCAAATCTCTATTAATCTTGCGAATGTTATTCGGTCGAAAATTCCCAAAGGTTGCTTTTTCTAGTTCGTGTTCCATATGTACAATGTGTGTTAGTATATACACGCTTTGCTTTGCTTTAGGAAATCAACATTCTGATGAAAACACAGAAAAAATTTAGTGTTCCTCTCGAATTCAAAATGATACAAAAATGCACATACAGAATAATTACATTGAAAGATCCTTCCCCTCTCTCTCTCTCTCTCTCTCTCTCTCTCTCTCTCTCTCTCTCTCTCTCTCTCTCTCTCTCTCTCTCTCTCTCTCTCTCTCTCTCTCTCTCTCTCTCTCTCTCTCTCTCTCTCTCTCTCTCTCTCTCTCTCTCTCTCTCTCTCTCTCTCTCTCTCTCTCTCTCTCTCTCTCTCTGTGTGTGTGTGTGTGTGTGTGTGTGTGTTACTATGGTAAGTTCGTTTTATTTCGGTTGATCATGAAGTATTGCACAACTTAAAGATTAAGGATTGATTGCAATCACAGCCATGGAGTAGAATGAAAACACACATCCAAACCATTTTTCTTTTCTTTATCTACTGAAATTAAGAGACAGAAAAAAACCAAATCGAAATCCTTAGAAATAGCATTCAAATACACCACAGTCAAAGCAGACTTCCGAGAGGAAGAAATAGATTGTTGAGTCTGACTTTCTTAATTGACCGTCTGCTAGATATAGACCGAAAGCATAGGCACATTGACAACATGTTCGTTTAGAATGCAATTAACCTGGTATGTCTAAATGTCGTCTGCTTCATGGCGAGTCTATCTTCTATCGACTCAAGTGGTTTAAGCCATAACTTCTATAAAGACTTAATTTCTGTCATTGTAAGCAGATATTTAATTACAAACGGAGATTCTCTGATAAATTCCTCTTTCGTTACGCCGGACCAGCTCGCGCAAGCTCGCACGCGCTGGTCTCGCACAGATAGGGCGTGTTAATCAATAACTTTTCTAAGCCTCCATACGTACATTCACAGATCGGAGTGATTTCTGTTTTAAGAGTACAGCAGTCGAAATTACCAACTGGGTTTTTCCTAATGTCAGGCTATACCAATCGTGTTTTTGGTGTACATATGATTTTCAAAGCTACGGTGAATAAATCAGTTCTTACCAACACCTTGAGGTCAGATGTCACTACTTTTACTGGTACTGAAACATCTATTTGCTGTCAGATTTGCCTATGATGGCGATATAACGGATGTTTCTAATTTGTAAATAATTGCTACACTTTATTAATGAGCATAAATTACAGATAATTACCTTTAATTATGAATAAACCATTTGGAGCATGCTCCCAAACTATTTGCCAGTGGCGATAGTATCGTTCGTGTCTAAATCTAGAAACATGCAGTTCTTGTTTCGGTGCATTTCGTCAAACCATGCATAATGCATTTAACAAAATGTATACGAAACCAAGCATTGCTGTATAGAATGCGCTGTATGTGGTTTGACCATGACTGCAGTCAGCTTATCATTCAAAAGGATGGAAACGGGCTCTTGTAAACTTTCTTCCTGCCATTTTTTGGACTTTGCCCTGTCCCATTCGATCT